TAATGGCAGGTACCAAGTGAGCTTGAATCATTCATGTGTTTCCCATCCCTATTTATTGTCATCTGCTTCCTGGGAGGGCCCTGACTTTCTCTTCCTTGTGTCCCCCACCCCAGCTTCCCAACTCTGGATATCATAAACCAGAAAGGATTAACAAGTTAGCCCTAACAGGATTAGGGGGAGAAGGATAAGCCATAAAAACACCCTCATTTGAAAGCATTTATTTTGGGCAAACATTAGGTTTGTTTTTGTTTTCTTCACATTTTGTAAAAAAGTGTGCTTAGTCATATTATTCATGGTTAGCATAGAATCTTCTACAGTAAGATTTATTTATTTTTTTATTTTTGGAGGAAAAAATGTCTTCCCTAATTGATGGCAGCTTGGATGTATAAAGGAGTGGTTGACTAGTATCAATCATGGTTGGAGAAAATGAATCCCTAAAACCATGGAACCTACCAAAGTTTTAACCTAATCCATCATCCTTGGGGACCCTATGGTTTTTAGCCACGGCTCTGCTTCGGTTGTGGTTTGCAAGTTGAAGGTGTGATCGGCCATCCAGCTGTTTGGCAGGATGTTTTCCAACCGTCAGGATGAAGTCTAGAGCTCGGTTAGCAGTTGTCTTTGTCATTCTTTTCCCTTTCCTCCTGAAACTGTTTTTGCAGGCCTGCCGGATGTCACAGAAACATGACCTGGGCAAGAAGTGTGTCACTTCTGTAGCTGAAAAGTGCCCATGACTCTGAGCCCAGAGAGGATGTAACAAACACGGCCTGGTGCTGAGCCAGCATCCTAGCTGGTGAGGCAGGGAGCACAGGATTTGACACCTAGTGCGGTTCGGCCATTCGACCCCCCACAGGTGCAGGCTTCTGGTCTCCAGCTAGGCAAAAACAAGTGGCTGAGCATCCTTCTGTGACTGATGAGATCACTCACCAGAACATCATAGTCATTCCTCTCAGTTTGTCTCACATAGGCTCTGTTGCCTTACAACCTGTCGGAGGGAAGGGAGCTACAAAACATGGTCATGGAGTGTATGCTACACACAAGTCCATGCCTTCCAACAAGCCCAAGGCCTAATGAGGATTTGACTACTAAACATAAATGGTTTCAACCCATTTATTTTAGACTTAAGTCTAGGGACAGATGCAGGAACTCCAGACAACCTCTTAGAACAGTGAAGGCTGTCTCCTTCCATGAAGATAGGTGTTGAACACACCAGCAGGTGGCTGAGACCCCTGGAAGAGTAGAGTCTGAGAGCAAGGAAAGCAATGACATTCCCTAAAATGAGATATTTGACTTTAATCCTCTACAGACAAGAAACATCACCCTGGTTTGGCTTTAATGTAGTCATTTTAAATTTGGCAATTGAGATTTTGTTAAAACAAACAAGGCTGCAAGCTTATTTGGGCTGTTGCATTGGTGGTGACCAGGGATTACTTGCCCTTTATGTAAATCAGTGCACTTTCAACACTCCAAGCAAACAAGGGCCATTTTCAAGTACATTCCATGAAATAATTTTTTGTGGTTGTTATTCTTATTGCCCACCCCCCCAAAGACAATCTGCTACAGAAGTACAAATAGCAAGCAGAGAGAAAAGTTATGGGCTACCCACAGGAAAACTATCTCACAAGTCCTTTATTACTTACAAGGAAATAATGTATCCAGTTCTGCCTTCCCCTGTAATGACCCATGCAGCTCTTCGTGGTGCCCCACTTCAAGCTCGTCTGACATTACTTTATCGTATCCTGCACACAGCCGCCAGTGCAGCTCCTTGCCTGAATCATGGACGAGGTAAGACACTGCCTAGTTGCTGCCTTCTCTCATTTCAGTCTCTTATGATCACATTTCAGCTTCTCTACAGAACAAATACAAGGAGAAAGTCTTGGGCAACAGTGAAGAAACAAAGTACTAACACTGAATCTTTACTGCTTACTAGATACTGTTTTACTCGGTTTAACTCATCGAATCCTTATAACACATCCACAAAGCGAGTAACACTGCTATCCCCATTTTAGAGATGAGAAAACTGAGTCGAGAGAGATGCTGTAATTTCCCAAGGCCACATGGCTTGTTAGGTGACTAAGTCTGGGTTGAAACCAAGCAGTGTGGGTTCAGACTCACAGGTGACCAAGCTTTGCCCCATGCTTTCAGGATGAAGACCCCACAATATCCATATTCTCACTTTTCACCTGTTAGATACCAGGAATAAGATGTGTAGGCTCTGAGCTATGCCACCCCTTCTGCATTAACACGATCACTTCCCCTCTTCTGAGATATAACTATATCACATCTAAGAATTAGACAACTTGATCAAATGAAAACGTCAAGTCAATGTCAGGATACACTGAAGTGGCAGAATGATGGACTTGGAATTGTTTATCAAGTGCCGTATTAGTACTAATATAGGGGAAATCAGTCAAGGGGAGGGTATTTGGAGGGAGCAGGGGAGATCCCAGAGCCTATGGAACTTTATCATAAAACAATAAAACTGTTTTATGGCTTCTTATTTAAGGGAATGTATTGTAACTGTGTAATAGAGACTATCATATCCAGATGTAAGGACACAATGCATTATGCATCTCCTCTTCCAAATCAAAGAAGAACTCCCAATGAAACAGTTGGCTGTTTCTTGACAATAGGATGCTGGACTGTCAGCCGTTGTCTGTACCAGTAGAATGATGGACTTATGACCGATTATAAAAGAGTATACTACTGTAATAATATGGAAGAAATGAGTTTGAGGGAGGAGATTTGGGGAGAGGTTAAGAGAAATCCCAGAGACTATGGAATCATGTCATAAAATTAAAATAAAATAGGAGAAAAAACCTAAAAAATTAATAATATAAATATAAATTAATTTTAAAATTTCAAAAGAAGAGAAGAAGGAGAAAGTTTGGATGTGTGTGTGAGAGGAGTATGGTTGTCTTTCTGGAACTGCACCGATGGAATGCATGAAATTTGTTCTCTTTATATTAACAAAAATTAAAAAGAAAAAAACCCATCAAGTCAGAATTCAAACTTGAGTTTTAGCATTACTCTCAAGTACTCATTTACTCTTCTGGTCTTGAATGAATTCAGATGGATATGATATAACTTATTTTGTCTGCAGGCCCACAGACTCATGGAGGAGAAGTAAACCTGACCTTGAAAATGGCAACATGGCAGCGCTAGTACAACAACATTTGAGGTACAACCAAAGTGGTATGGCAGTAAAGCCTGGGGTGACTAAGCTTTCCTAATGGAAGCTGGAAGAGGTCACAGAAAAGCTCTGGAAAGATGAGGAGGACGAGAGAGACCTTTTCAGCCTAGCAGGTTTTTATTATATTGCTAAAAGGCAAGAGAACTTGAATTTTGAAATAAATTGCAGTATGCCCTGTGTATCTGAAGTTCTACATCCACAGATCAATCATCGCTAGGTCATTTTGTTATTACTCCCTAAAAAATTATAACTGTTAACATGGCAGATTATATTAAACATTCCAAATATTCTAATAATGACTTCCAGGAGTCTGAGGATTATATGTAAGTAGTTGGCCATGTTTACAGGGGTGTGGAGCGTCTGCAGAATTTGGTACCCGGATGAGTACGAGAGGCAACTCCTCACTGATACTGAGGCATGACTGTATTCCTCAGGGTGCTTATGATGAGTTCTCCCCATATCTACCAGGAGCAGGTTGATTGTCAGCTAGCTGACCATTGTCCATCAGGTTAGCCTCAATTTAGACAAACAGTGACATTCCTGCACATGGTTAAATTATGTGTGGCCAGTGTCTTGATTTTCATTTTAACAATATCCCCTCCCATGCGCACTGCAAATTAATGAAATCATAAAGGAATTCTGACAAAGGGGGTTACTTCTTAAAAACTCCAAGGTTTCGAAGTTGAGGTTGAATGTTTGGGCAGGTGTGAATTATTCGCAACAGGAATGAGCAGAGAGGGGTTCCAGGAAGCATCATGCTTGTACTGAGGAGTTGCCTCTTGAGGCCGGTCCTCATGCTGGCACATGCGGACGGCGTGAGGACTCACTCTCACACCTTTTCTAGGAAGCCAGAGGGGAGCAGTCTTCAGCAGGCTCACAGAGCTCCTCACAGCCTTCGGTGGAAAGAACCAAGCAGCATCGAAAACCCACTTTAAAACAAAATGTACAGTTGAATGGCTAAGATACTCAGGTCCTAATTCCCACTAGGTCCCTAACCCTACCTGAGTTTGTAAGTCATAACTCTGTTGAGTTTTAACTTCATCTTGCGCAGAATTCGGAGGTTGAACTTGATGAGCTTATAAAATTCAATCAAAGTGTTGAACAAGCTTATATGTTTCTAGTAGTAACCAATACCAGAGGTAAACGGATTAAAGGAAAAGTTTCTCTTTATTATTTATGTATTTGCTTCCTTTTAAAAGATAAAATCAAAACCAAATATAAATCACGAGAAAGACTGGCACATATGCATGCATGCATGTACACACCCATCACAACTCGAATGTCTGGACTTTCTTAGTCAACCGATTCCCACGATCCCTAATGACATCCTGTTGTCCCTACTAAAAGCAAATATTTAGCCTAGAGGTTTTAAACATCCACGAACGTTTATTTCACTCTCCCAAATAACGTCTTCCAGAAGACTCAGAACATACTGAGCAAGGCACTTTCATCACAGTTCTCACTGGTGGTTTGTCTCTGGGACCTCACTCTGTGCTTGTGGATGGTCTCCCCGGATAAGTAGAACTGAACCAGAAACGAGATTAGCTGTTGTTACAAAGTAGCCCTGAATTTGTTGTGGTTCCCACTACCCATCATCTCTAGCTCTTCCCCAGGTAACATAGACATTCTTCCTGTTTGAACCTTTCACACAACCCTGCTACCTCGACCCAGTGGCCACTAACCATACACAAGGTTAGAAAAATAAATGGAGATTCTCAGAAGTCCAAGGACTAATTTGTAGGTCATAGAAATTCAGTGGATTAAGTGCTTGCAGAGCCCAGGAAAAGAGAGTGACAAAAGCCAAACTTACTTCGTCCACATGTCCCACAGCTCCGAAGATCCTTGCTGTTTGTCCCACGAGGTAGGGAAATCTCTCACCTATCTCCTTCAGCATTGGGAGAAAACTTCCCAGCGCTGCTGGGTCCGAGACGGCTATCTCTAGGAGGATATTCAGGATAACGTCACTGTTGGCTGCATCCTTCAAATGCCCAATGAGGAAAGGAATACACGTCTGAACCCCCTGCAATGACACAGGGAAGCAAGAAGAAACAAAGAGAGAAATGGATTGGATTAAAATCAATTTCAGAAGCAAGCCTTTTTTAGACATTAAATCTGAACTCCACCCATATCTAGAGTAGTTACAATCCTTAGAACTAAAGCAAATCTCCCACCTTTAGAATTTAAAATTTTTAATAAATTGTTCGGCGGTTTCTATTTCTTTCCCTTTTACTGTATGCCTTTCTATGAAAGACTGACATTTACAAAATGTGTGGCAAACCTGACTGTTGTCATATTGTATTCTCAATCAGAATGTTCCATTTCCCACAACCTGTATACTGTAACTTAAGAGACAATGAAGGTGTGGAAGAGGTCTGTTTGAATTTTACTCAAGGACTTCAGCTTGGAGAAATACTGTTGTGAAGTATTATTTTGAAAAGTATTTAAACATAAAAATAAGAAAGTAGGAAAGATTTCCCACATTTTCTTCCATTTTCCATCTTGATCACAAAATATAATAAGAAAATTATTAAAGCAAAATTATTCCTACAATATGCCATTTATTTCTTGATTTTAGAACTTTTATGAATATGAGAATATAATTACTCTTGTTAAAAATGTGATATTTTGTGGAATAAAGTCACTAGATTAACACACAGACATTTTGCACATTGACAGTTTAATGGTCTTATCTGCTAAAATAAAAGAATTAGGAAGGAAACCTGTGAAAAAAAATAATAGAGGTTAAAAAGGTTTACCCTTCTATTTCTGCTATACTTATTTCTTCTGTTTGCTGTTGGTTTGCTTTATTTATTTCTACATTCAATTGCCTTTTCTGATTTGAGAGAGACAAAAGACAGATCTCCCATCGACTGATTTATTCTTCAAATGCCTGCAGCAGTGAGGACTGGATCAGGCTAAGTCCTGCTCTCCCACGGAAGTGGCCACTGCTTCTTAGGGTCTGCGTTGACAGGAAGCTGGGCCCAGGAGCCAGAGGCAGGTATAGAACTCTCCAATAAAATATGTGAGTATTTTATCAGGTAACATAGCCACTAAAGCAAGCACCTGCCCTGGTTTGCTTTGTTTGTTGTTGTTGTTATTTTTTTAGTGACATTAAATATAACTTTTTGTGTTAAAACCAAATACAATTCATAGCTCCATTTACCCAAAGCTGAGCTCACAATTCCTCCATCACTCCATTAAAAATTGATTTCTCCAACCTCCTCTCTCGTTTATTCATATAACAGCATTTTACACCTGGCCTACTACTCTTTCACCCTTACCAGCAAGTGTATCTAAGCAATCGTCACGTGCATCCAAGTACTCTACAAATCTGTCCCTTCCATCATTTCCTATTCCTTCGTTCATTTGCTTATCCACAGATGCCACTGAACCCCTCCCATTTGTAAGGTACTATTCCCGGTGCTGGAGAGACAGGTGTTAAGTCTGGTAAAATCCCTGCCTTCTTGGAATCACTCGTTGTCTGTTAAAGATGACATTCAGTGAAACAAAGAGCAACATCCAAGTTGTATCACCACATGTTTTAACAAGTACCACGTAGGGAAAATACAGGGCTTTGACTCGAGGGTCAAAGAGGGAGACACTAGGCGTGACTCCCACCCTACTCTCCCACACATGACTAACTCCAACAGGCTTCCCTGGCTTCGGTCTTATTCAGCCAATGTCTCTTCACTCCGTGTCCCCATCCCTTCCTGAAGGTGTTCCATGCCTTCCCCTCGCTCTTAGGCACCAAACTCCTTTTCTAAACTTGGTACATCGTTCCACATTCTCTCTTTCACTATCCATTCAACTCTCACTCCCCACCCAGAACCTATTCTACTTCAACCATGCTGAATTAAATCATTTTCTTAACACACTTGGTTTTTTGTCTTGCATCTGGCATTTTGCCCAGGTAATTTGCTCCACTTGAAATCTTTGTTATCCCTGTTGTGCTGGACAAGCTCCTGATCATTTTGAGGTAGCGGCTGAACTGTTGCTTTCAAAAGCCTTGCCCAGCTCTGCTGCTCCTGCAGCTCCTGCTGTATCTTCTTTGGCTCCAAGCAATCCTCACCCTGTATCCCTGTTGTTGCTCATCCAGATGCCTGTCCTTCAGCTTCACCGAAAGCTTCACCACAAACTATTGCAAACGCCATTATATAAACTCAGTGTTCAGCACAGAGCCATGCTTGGACGAGTTAATAAGTATTTGAAGAACATATCCAAAGTGGTAAATATAAATGATTGCATGGGGTGATGTTGTTGTGTGGTTGATTTTAAAAATTAAATAATTAAATAAACACAGAGAAAGATTGTCCATCTTCTAGTTCACTTTCCAATTGCCCAAAACAGACTGGACTGGGCCATTCTGAAACCAAGAGTCCAACCTGTATCTTATACATACATGGGCATCAAGGACTTAATTATGTGAGTCATCCCCTGCCGATTGCTATGGTGTGCATTAGCAGGAGGCTGGATTGGAAGCTGGGTTGGTCTGGAACCCAAGCATCTCAGTTGGGATGGATTACATCTTAAGTGCTGTGCCAAACTCCCATCACACAGGGTGGCATATAAATAAAATATCTCCCTCACTGCCATGGCAATTGAATTAGTTGAAATGTGTATGCTGTTAAGCATCATATACCACATATACAACTCAGAAGGTGTTTCTGAGATAAGTAAATTATGCTGCATGTAGACTTAAACTTTATTTCCACATCTGGCATTGGTAGAGGAAAGTACAAGGCTACTTTCTTGTGAATGGTGCATGCAGATCAGCCATTTTATAAAGCCCATTTGTACATTTTAGAGCAACTGTGTATCCCACAGGAAGACATGGGCACACACAGCAAGTGTCAGCTAGCAGTGCACAGTAAGAGCACCACCCCAAACAGGAGCTTCTTAGAAATGGAAAACGCTTACAGGTTTCTTGCCTCCATAAGATTCCACTTCCATGTCCTTACTTTCAAGTCCTAACCCAGGAGCAACTAGATCTCCATGGCGTGTGTATTTGCTGCCAATTTCATGAAACTTCAGTTGTGCACCCCAAGAGAGTGCTGTATCTGTTGCTGCATAGCAAGTTAAACTGCCGCCTGCAGTGCTGACATCCCATATGAGTGCCAGTTCGAGTCTCAGCTGCTCCACTTCTGATCCAGTTCCTTGCTAAAATGTATGGGAGAGCAATGGAAGATGGCTCAAGATTTCTTCCTCTGTCATTCTTTCTCTCTCTGTAATTCTGCCTTAAAAAAATAAATGAATAAATCCTAAAGAAAAATAAAGGGGAAAAGAAGGGAACATAAGGAAGGGACGGGAGTAGGGGGGGTGGAGTAGATGGGAATGGAATCAAAGATGAGGGGGAGGAAGAGAACGAACTACTTCACTCAAAGCTAACTACAGTGGCTTTGGTGGAGTTTATAGAAAGAGCAAAGAAGAAAATCCTTGAATAATGTAATAATTGTCTTACAAATGAAACAAAAGTTATTAGTAAAAGATTATTTTACTTTGAATTTCTAGTAACCCAAAGTTTATTGTGCTGGCGATAGAAGACAGAGCTATTTTTTGATCGCTACACACATGAATGGGCAGGGTGCCTCGGCTTAGATGAATTATTCTTCCATCTGGAGAACATCTATTTTTTGAACACTGAATGTTCCCTCAGGCTAGTGTGCTCAGTGCTGCTTCACAGGGAGGTGGGCCCACACAGCGGACAAAGACTGAGAGCAGCCCTGAGACAACACAGCAAGGCCCACCCTGACTCTACTCCCAGGCAAAGTGGAAGCCCCATTCTATGGACCACTGGTGGAGCTTCCACGCTGGTCTCCTTGCTTTAAGCCAGCTCCTTTCCTTTATGCCTCTTTGCTGCCAGCAGAGCCCTTCTTCTAAAACTCTGATCTGCTCACATCAACTCTCCCTGGGAGACTTGAACATATCTCTGACAGCCACGGCAGAATCCCATTTCACGGCATTCAGGCCTTCACCAAAGGGTATACCTGCTGACTTGTGCCCCATGACCCAGCTGGATGGCACTTGAACATGGAGAGAAGTCTTACACTTTTCAAGGCAATCTTCTCCTGAATGACCTTAACACATGCAGGAACTGGGGTTGGAGTACCACTCCAAGAGACCGAACCACGCCCTCAAGTATTCGATAACCATATAAAATGTTCTATCCTCCTACCTGACCAATTCACCTTTCTAACAATCAGGGCTGCGCGATTCGAACTCCAAACCATTGGCTTCCATAGAAAACTAATGCCAAGAGCTTTGTTTTTTGCCTCACCCCCTTTTCTCTTCCTACCCCTGATTTTCCCTGCATGTGGCTATTCCAACTCCCAGTCTCTCCCAGGCCACCCTTCAGGACCATGGCATTGGTCCTGAGGACAAGTTAGCATACTTGTCCTTGAGAGAACAGATTCAGGAGTCAGATCTGTTTAGAAACTACAGAAAGACTTGAGGTATCCGTGCCCCCCTCAAAAATGCCAAGGTCCTAGATATCTGAACTGCATTCAGCTGTCAAGGAATCAAACGGGACCTATGGGTACAAAGAGGAGAGAGACAGACCAGAGCCGTCCAAGGGGAGTAGGCCAGTGCAGAGGCCAGCCTTCACTGCTGAGCTCACTTTCTGGTCTTCAAGTAGCTGAGTCCTAGTTCTGTGCTCTCCTAGCAGGCTGCTGCCAGGCTGAGCGGTCTGTTCATGTGTGGAAGTGCTATAGATCCATCTCGGGCTATGAGCTCCTTGGAGGTAGGAACTGTGCCCTAATTTAATGTGTATATATTTTATATTATATGTGTGTGTGTACGTGTAAACACACATATGTTTAATGTATGGAGTTAGAGTTAATGGGTGCCTGTGTGTACTGAATATATGCATGCATATACTGCCGCTTAAATTTGTCCTCCGGCCCAGTTTTCTCAATTAGCTTGACTAACGTAAGAAATTTCCGTATCTATAAAACTTGAAGCAGACATTTCAACATTTCATCCAGCAGTCCAGAAGCTTTTTGGAATGCCCGCATCTATATCAGAATACCTGAGTTTGAGTCCTGCGTGCCACATCAGCTCTGATTTCAGCGAATGCTCACCCTAGCAGATAGCAGATGGTAATGGAAGTTATTGGGTCCCTGTCTACATAGAGAAGAGCAGAACTGAATTGCAGGGTTGTGATTTCAGTGAGGCCTGGCCTGGCTGCTGCCAGTAATTAAGGAGTGAACCAGTGACTGGGAGAACTCTCTCTCTCTCCCTTTCAAATAAATAATAAATAAATAAATAAATAAATAACTTAAATATCTATAAATCTCCAGAAATCTATAAATGTCTTCCATTTAAAAAAATTTATTACTTATTTCTACTATAGTGAAAAATATGTCTGGAGACCATGATTCTACTCCAAAGGCTATTTTTTTTCTACTTTTTAAAAATACTAATTTGAAAGGCAGAGTTAGAGATGAGGGGAGAGAGAAATAGAAAGAGACCATCCATGCTTTGGTGCACTCCCCGAATGGCCATGATGGCAAGGGCTGAGTCAGGCCCAAGTCAGAAGCCCGAGCACCTGGGACATCCTCCACTACTTTTCTAGGCACATTAACAGGGAGCGGAGTAGGAACTGGAGCGGCTGGGCTTGAACTGTTACCCGTGCAGAATGCTTGTGCTGCAGGGCAGTATCTTAAATTGCTGCACCACAGTGCCAATCCCACCAAAAACTTTTTCTAAACAGTCTGTATTTGTTTTTTTTTTTAATATTTATTTATTTATTTGAGGGTAATAGAGAGGGCAATGCCAGAGAAATCTTCCATCCTACTGATTCCTACTGATTCACTTTCTCCAATGTGTTCAACAGCTGGGGCTGGTCAGGACCAAGCCAGGAGCCTGGAGCTTCACCTGGATCCCAGGGGGGTGACGGGGTCTCAGATAATTGGGTCATCTTCCACTGCTTTCTCAGGCACATTAGCAGGGAGCTGGATGAGAAGTGGAGGGCCTGGGATTTGAAGCAGCAACCATATAGAGTGCTGGTATGGCAAGCAGATTCTTAACCTATTGTGTCTATATATTCTATTACCCATCTTCCTCATGTTCTGGTAATAATTTCTTAATTTTAAGTGTTAATTTTAAATAAATTCCAAAGTGACTTCTGAGTGTCACTGTCCTGATGATGCTGTCAGGTATATTAGGGTTAGATGTGTGAATAGGAAAGCTCTGTGCTGCTGAGAAGAAAAATCTAGAAAACAGTTCTCTCTCCTCTAGGACCAGACCACAAAGGAGTCCCTCTGGGTCTGAGCATGAATCAAGCAGAGGTTGCACTGACCCCTGCTTGCCTGGGGCTAGCAGCTCCAGTGCTGGTGATATCAGATGTGCTCATTGTGTCACTAAATTCTGTTTTTATTGGCTAGACCACAGTCCATTGTACAGCAGCCAAGTACCCATGCTGGATTCCCATCAATACCACTTGGGAAACTGGCCACCCAGTCTCTGCCTATTCACAGGGGGTATCTGTCATGAATCACTAGCTAGGAATTCCCAACTCCTTTTGCTTTCCATGTGGGAAGAACTGTGTCCAAAAAGGAAGGAAGCCCAGAGGGTAATGGTGGACAGAGGGGACCTGCCTGCTGCCAGCCGCATCCTGGAGCTAACAAGAATGTGGGTGCTGAAGTCTTATGTGGAAAATTCCATTTGTTTCAAAATCCTGTGGCCACCCTGCAGCTGCATAGGACATCTGTGTTATCACTGCTCACGTAAGGTGGGTGATGACGAAGGCACTGGAGCAAATACAACGCCACCTGCCCTCCTCCTCTCACTGACATCTTTCCCATGCCTGCTACGGATTCACTGGAACTCCCTTTTGCTGCACAAGTCACAGTTGTAGAACCACAATTGCTTGAGGTGTGTTGAGGTCAAAGAATCCCTTGGCAGGGATCCACCTTGGTTTGTCATGTGGTCTGGCTTCAACTGTCTGGCTTTAGCAAAAGGCGTTTGATAATGTCAGAGTTACAGCCTGCACACAGTGTGTTTAAGAAGCACAAACTGTAGAGATTGCATGGAGGGAGACCTGGAAAGTGACCAGAGAAAAGCAGGACCAGCTGGCATAGAAGGGATGTGAAAAGCCACCTCTCCAAGTCACCTCTGGGTCCCAGGGCTATATTAAACTTCTCTGAAGTCTCCTTCTTCACTTACACAAGAAGAAACTGGTTGTGGGAAATCAAACTGAGCCATGAGCTGAGCTCAGCCCTATCGGGGCAGTGTGTCTGCAGTCCCCCGCTCACTGCAACAAGCCCTGAGCAAACTACTCCCTTCTAGGCTTCTCAGTGGAAGAAGCTCAGTCTCCCCCCAACACATATCCCCAGAACCAGAAAGGAGTCAGGAGACCAAGTTCAGAGTTCTGGATCTACCTTACTGTTTTCTGCTTGTTGGATGCGGGTGGGAGACGCCCGGCTGTGTGGACCATCATAGAGGGAATGTACTCTTTACCTCCAGCTGTTTCCTCTTTGCTGCTACATGCAAGAGCCGTAGCAGATGGTACTGCTCTGGCTGCTCCAGCTGAGACATCAAGGCCAGGAGTTCTGTCAGGTGTCTGTTGATGGGTTGAGGCTGCTTTTCATGCACAGCAGGTAACACCCGCAGCAGCATGGCATTACCTGAAAAGAAACAGTATAGAGAATGAAGGTTTTATCAGCCCGCAAGTCATGGAAATAACATTCTTGTCCATGCAGTAACTTTTGTACTTACATATTAATTAACAAAACCTTTGCCCGTTGCGTTTACATGTTAAATAACAAAAACTGATAACCAAGTCTTCTACTAAAGGGCGCAATAACTTACTCTGAAAAATCGCCAAATCAGGTTTTCATTAATTCCATACAAAGGAATACTCTGTGATATGATCAACATCATCATGTAACACACCATAGGGGACAGAGGGACATTTGACAGAAACCAGGCCACACCCTTGAGAAAAAAATAGTTCTGATAAAAAAAATTCCTGATGAGAAACAACATTTGGATGATGTTGAAATGGAAACGAAGCCGGGCCATAGGCATGGGCCCAAATAAAGCTGAGGGAAATGAGTACTGAGGCATGCCGGCGCATTCCTGAGAGATGTGGAGGCAGCACTTCGCTGGCTGACATATGGAAGGTAGGCTGCATTTTTATGAGCGGTTTAAAAAGTAGCCATGTAAATTTAAACCCCCAATTTCTGCACTACTTCAAGGGACGTTCAGACTTGGCTTGTTTGTCACATGTGATTTGCCTCAAGGATATGTATAGACAATTGGATGTAAAATGGCAAACCTCAAGAAGAAATATTACCAACGCTACATGCCTTATCTGCAAACAACATATGGGAAACATCTGCTTATCACTTTACGGTATGGATTTTTTTCTCCAATCCTCCCAAGTGCTTCAGTGTCTCGGAGGAATTGGTTCCTTGAACAAGAATTTTTTTCGACTCTACTTTCACTTTAAAGTTTGGCTTTGAAAACAGATGGAGAAAGAATCGAACACGCAGGAGTTACACACCCACAGACCTCCATGCTATGGTGGGTGCAAAGACTGAAGGAAAGCAGGCCAGCATTTTCAGAATAGCAATACCTTAAGTGGACAGGTGATTGTTGGTAAAACCGAATGTACTTGACTGATAATGACTAACAAGAATGGCACTTTCTATGCAGTTCCTAAAGTAAGTCTCAAACATGTCTTAGTCTTATGTGTTCAGGGTACAGCAAACTGGAACTATCCTGATTTTTGTGTCCATCCGTGCTTTTCCAGCAATTTATTTTGTTTGCCTTTTTTTTTTCCCTAAAAAAGCTTATTCTGAAAGCATCAGATTTTAATGTAGTTCTCAGTTTTACAGATCACATTAGGTTATAGAATCTGCTCATGTGGACATTTTGATCAACCAATAAAGAGCACGTTACACGGAACTGTAGTTGAAACCAAGGACAACACGTGTGCACATGGCTTTTGGCAGAACACTACTAAAGGCCTCAGGAGGGATGAAGAGCAAAAAAATTCGGATTAGTCATTTTCAACTGATTTAGATTTCAATTAAAAGACACAAAATAAACATTGAGGAACTTTTTTGGAGTCAGAAACTGATAAAGAGAAAAAAACCCCTGGGTGTAGAAATCCCATAAATTCCATTCATAAAATGATTCAATGACTCAAGTTTAATTACAAAATATTTCAAGCAATCAGGTCAACGTCAGTAACTGATGAAGGACCACTGCTGTGCCCACCAGCAAGCTTTGCTCCAGATTCGTCTTGTGTAGCGACTGCTTCCTACCCCAATTCACTCCTTCTCCCTCCCAGAGACAGCCACCATTCCAAAGTTAGCATTTATCACTTCGATGAATGTTTTTATACTTAATTACATAACATGCTATAGTGTTGTTTCACATGCTTTAAGATTCCTTTGAGGGGCCAGTCCTGTGACACAGCATGCTAAGCCACTGCTCATAATATTGACATCAGCATTCCCTATAATAGTGCTGGCTTCAGTCCCAGCTGCTTGGTTTCCATACAAACTCCCTGCTAACATTGCTGGAAAAACAGAGGAGGACGGCCCACAAACCTGAAACCCTGCCACTTTCGTGGGAGACCTGGCTTCTGGGTTTGGCATCACCCTACCCTGGCTGTTAGAGCCTCTGCAAGAGTAAGCCATAGAATAAAAATCAAGAACTTTGTTGAAGAAAATGATGCTACTCTATGATATATGAGTTAGTGAAGCATTTAATGAAAAGGGTTTTGAAGAGATGAAACTAAAAAAGAAATCCATGAGATATAGTTTCCACTGATCTTTGTTGGTGAAATGTGTCTCCTGTAGGCAAAAAAAAATAGATGGGTGTTGTTATTTTAATTCAATCTACTAATCTATGATGCTTGATTGATGAGTTTAAGCCATTTACATTCAAGGATAATATGAATGGGTGGTAATTTGGTCCTGTAATTTTAGCAATAGGTTGCTCATTGATGTATTCTTCTGTTGTTATTTCATTGGGATGTTCTTCACTTTTGCCTTTGGTTTTGGTGGACACTATTCCTTTTCTCTGTAGAGGAAATCTTTAAGTATCATTTGTAGGGCAGGTTTGGAAGAGGCATGTTCTTTTTTTTTTAGATTTATTTATTTTATTACAAAGTCAGATAGACAGAGAGGAGGAGAGACAGAGAGGAAGATCTTCGGTCCAATGATTCACTCCCCAAGTGAGCGCAACGGACCAGTGCTGTGCCGATCCGAAGCCAGGATCCAGGAACTTCTTCCAGGTATCCCACGCGGGTACAGAGTCCCAAAGCTTTGGGCTGTCCTGGACTGCTTTCCCAGGCCACAAGCAGGGAAGTGGACCTGCTGGGACCTGCTGGGAAGTGGACCTGCTGGGATTAGAACCAGTGCCCATATGGGATCTTGGTGTATTCAAGGCGAGGACCTTTAGCCACTAGGCCACTATGCTGGGCCTGAGTCATGTTCTTTTAATTTTTCTTTACTCTGGAAGAATTTTACTTCATTTTCATTGCTGGGTACTTTATCCTTGGCTGACAATTTTTTGCTTTTAGAATCTGGAATATGTTGCTCAATTCTCATCTGGCCTGTAGAGTTTCCTGTGAGAGATCAGCTGTGAATGTAATAGCCATTCCTCTATATGTCAGTTGATTTTTTTTTTCATGTGCACATTTAAGGATCTTTTCCTTGTGTTCAACTGAAGGGAGCTTGATTATCATGTATCTTGGTGAAGATTGCTTTTGGTCAACCCTGTTGGGAGTTCTGTGCCCTTCCTGGATGTTGTTTCCCAATTCTTCTTCCAGATTAGGGAAATTTTCTTTTATTATCTCATTAAATACATATTTAAATCCAGCTTCTCTTTCTGCACCTTCTGGGACTCCCATAACTCTTATATTTGGCCTTGTAACCGTGTCTTTCAATTCTTGAAAACTTTCTTAGCTTGATCCAGCTCTGCTTTTAGCTTTTTGTTTGCTTCCCCCTGGTGACAGGAGATATCTTCCAATTCTGAGATTTTTTTCTTCTGTCTTCATTCTATTTTGGAGAAGCTCCACTGTATTTTTAATTTGCTCCATCGTATTCTTCATTTCTGACACATCAGCTTGCATTTGATTCATTACTATTTCCTGTGTGACATATTCCTTCCATTCCTTGAACTCCTGCTTTATGTGCTTCTCATTGTTGATAAGAAGCTTTATAACTAGTGTTTTGAATCCTATATCCACCATTTTCTCAATATTTTCCTCAGTTAACCCCGAGGTTGCCAAAGGCTTTTGCTCCTTTGCAAGGAAATTTTCAGTAATATTCATTGTGTCTTTGTCTCTTCTTTTGCTCTTGGTCATTGTACTTCTGGTTATCAGATTCTTCTCCTTGGAGCAGGATTCTAAGCTCTGTCACCCACAGGTCTACAATGCAATTTACTTATTGCAGTTGGTACATGGCTGTTTGTTCGCAGTCACTTGTGCCACTCCATCCAGCAAGTTCCAGGTCTAGGTGGATTCTTATGTTAGATTTCCAGCATGGTCTGCATAGCTCCAGCTCCTGGCTCACCAGTCTCCACCTCCCATGATCCCATGCAGAGGCTGCACCATTGTCTGTACAAGCTTTCTCCCACTTCTCCTCCTTCTTCCCCTCCCCCCCCCAAATACATTTCAGTTGTTTTTATGGCATTAAGAAAGCAATTTTGTACCTTAAGTTTTGTACCTTGATCTTACACTCACTACAACTTAACCAGTTACTCCATCAGCATTGCCTTTTGAGTCTGCCTTTCTGGATTAGCTTTTCCACTCGAGATGATTGCCACTGGCTTTGTTTCTTTCCTCCCTTGTTCACCCCTTATTTCTTCTCCTCATGATCTTACTTTATTAGCTGGGAAGCCCAATATTTTGAAGAACAGAATTGATGTTTGTGGCTATCCTGTTACTATTTCTACAAGAATTTCTGTAAATTCTGTTATTTAAGTTTTATCAGATTAAGTAAGTTCCTGGCTTGATTATTAATGAGTGTTGGATTTTATCAGATACTTCTCATATTCACTGACACAATAATATGATTCTCCTTAAAATTACTAATGTAATAAGTCAACAGATATTTTAACATTTACTCTTGGGGACAAACTCAACTTTCATTATTGTGTACTTTTGGGTTTTTTGTTGTTGTTGTTTATTTTAAAGACTTACTTATATTTATTGGAAAGGCAGATATACAGAGAGGAGGAGAGACAGAGAGGAAGATTATCCATCCATTGATTCACTCCCCAACCAACCACAATGGCTGGAACTGAGCCAACCCAAAGCCAGGACATGGAGTTTCCTCCAGGTCTCCCACGTGGGTGCAGGGTCCCAAGGCCTTGGGCTGTTCTCGACTGCCTTCTTAGGCCATAAGCAGGGAGCTGGATGGAAAGTAAGGCTGCCAGGATTAGAACCGGTGCCCATATGGGATCCCAGCATGTTTAAGGTGAGGAATTTCTCTGCTAGGCCATTGCATGGGCCCTGTTGTGTACTTTTGTACATGCATTGCTCAGTTGCTTTGACTAATATTTTATTCACTACTTTTTCCATCCATGTTTGTAAGTGAGATGTTCTTGTCTCTTTTTAGTATCAAAGTTATCAGACACATAAAAGGAACTTAGTGTGTTCCTATACATTCTATTCTCAGAAGCAGTTTTGTAAAATGGAGATTACGTGTCTTTGACTATTTGGTATATTTGGTAGTACTTGTCTATCAGACTGGCCCAGCAGTACTCTATAGACTTCTTTATATTAAACTTGGAATTACATAATTCAGATTTCTGTTTTCCTTAGCACTTTTTTTTCCCTTTGAATGATCAGTTGTGACAAAGGTGGATTTAATTACTTTATAAATTTCCCTACAGGATTATAGATTTGTCAATTGCTTCTTATAATTTTGTCAGCCTTTGTCATACATATATTTTTGGAACTACGTTACTAGATAATTCTGAGATATCTGCCTATAAATGTTTTCTTTTGGTCATAATTTAATTACGTACTCTCTTTCTCAACTTAAAATCTCTTTCACTGCTAACTTTTTAAAATAGAACGTGGGTATGCTTTCATTGTCTCCTCTCAATATACTTTCACCTAAAATATTTTAAAAGACTAATTTACTTGAAATGCAGAGTTAGGGAGAAGGAAGAAACAGAAGAAGAAAAAGGAAGAGAGTAAAGGAGTGAGCAAGAAATATCTTTGATGGGCTGGGTCACTCAACAAATAACTATGTTGCAACAGTTAGGTCTGGGCTAGGCCAAAGGTGGCAGCCAGATGGCCATCCAGGGTTCCCACATAACTGGTGGGGGCCCAAACACTTGGGGTATCCTCCACCACACTCTTCCCAAGTGCACTAACCAGAAGCTGGTTCAGAAACAGAGTAATCATGGATTGAACTGAGGTAGCACACCAGCATCCCAAGTAGCAGCATAGCCAACTATGTCACAATGCCATCCTTGACTTTCAACATTTTGACCTCCTTATATTCTATATGTGCTTTTTACAAGTGATTTATAGTTGCATTTAAAAAATATCCTTATCGGGCCCGGCACGGTGGCGCAAGTGGTTAAGGTCCTCGCCTTGCATGCCTGGGATCCCATATGGGTGCTGGTTCTATCCCGGCAGCCCCGCTTCCCTTCCAGCTCCCTGCCTGTGGCCCCGGAAAGCAGTCGAGGACGGCCCAAGGCTTTGGGACCCTGCACCCGCATGGGAGACTCAGAAGAGGCTCCTGGCTTCGGATTGGCATAGCATCGGCCGTTGCGCTCACTTGGGGAGTGAATCATCGGACAGAAGATCTTCCTCTCTGTCTCTCCTCTCTGTATATCTGCCTTTCCAATAAAAAATAATAAAAATAAATCTTAAAAAAATATCCTTATCTCACAATCTTTGTATCCTAACTGAAATACATGTCTTTTAAACATTTATAGTGATTATTATGTTTAGCTGTATTTTTAATTCATATTTTGCTTTTTTACTTTGCTTTATCTATGATTTTCTTTCCTCCCACACTGTTCTCTGCTAATTAGATCAAATTTCTTAAAGACTTTTTCTGTCTCTTTTATTTGGATGTCTAATGCCTTTTGGTTTTAGTGATAATGCTTAACTATCATAACAAATGCTCTTGAACAAAGCAAGATGATTTAATTTCTCTCCCATCCTCTTGGGTGATGAATGGAATTTAGAATACAGAACACAAAGAGAGTAAACTCTGGATTACTTTCTTGTATCTGTCCTCCAGTTCATTAACACTCTCTTTAGCTTGACCCAATTTGTCATTTAATACATTTGCTGGTCTTTTTAAACATTTCAAATAACTTTTAAAAAGTTCTATGTTACCTTTGATTCTTCAAAAATTCACCTAGCCTATTCCTTTCGGATCGTGGCTTGTTCTTTTCTTTCTATATCATAAATCATTTTAAGCACATTTATTTCCTAGTGGCTGGCTGTTACATAAATGAAATTCTTGACGGGGTGATGGCTCATACTTTTTGGTTTCTACTAATCCATAGTTACGGCAGATTGTCTTTGGTTGTGATAGTACATTAGTATTCCCAATATGTCGAGGTCAGACCCAAAGTCTCAAGGTCTCAGGGACCTCAGACATGCTTCACTCCTATTCACTGGTTCAAGGGCAGAGTGCATTTGCACCTGCTAAATGCCAGTACATAACCATTGGTGGGTCTTGAATTTACTCAGGGTCTCACTTGTAACTCACCACCCAACACCTAAGCTTTGCTCCCACATGGTCATTAATACTCAGTGATTGTAATGGCCAACTGTCAATACTGTAATGAGATACCTGAGGAAACTAACGTGCAAAGAAAAAGAGATTGTTTAGCTCAATTCTGGAGGTTTAAATTCAAGACGGAGCAGCCCCATTAGTTCGACCTGTGGCAGGTAGGTGCGGCAGATGGGGAAGGAGGAGCACGGACAGAGGAAGGACCATGAAAAAGAAAGCAAGCCACTGAGACAAAGCCCCACTTGGGCTTTACAACCAAGCTTTTCCTGAAAATGACCTTCTGCAGTCACCTGCACCCCAGCCCACCACTGACCCAAAGGCTCACCTCTACACACCATAGCTGGGTTAAGTTTTCACTCTGAGTATCAATAAGTTATGATGCTGAGGTTTCAGTATCTGCACAAGATTGGAGGGCAAATGTTTTGCAAACCATGGCAGTGTTCGTGGAAGAGACACCCCTGCGTCTCTCATCCGCACCCCAGAGCAGCCTTAGCATCCACCCTCACTGAGGGCCCTGTTCCCTAACTGTGGGTCTCGGATGTTTCCTTTACTTTATTAGGAGTGCCCTTTGTTCACTTGAAGCTGGTGCTTCCTCCATATCTCGCATAGGACAGTTTTCAGCTGACGGACATGGCATGTGAGATCCTTATCCACGCAGGAGCAGGAGTCATCAGAAGCTTGCTTTACTTTCCTTTGCACAACAAGGTCAGTGTAACACCAAGGCTTCGTAAAGAAACACCCCTGCAGTGGTGTGGTCCTTTTTGCAGCTTTTTCCTATTTGAGGTTTAACCAGTCATACTGTGTTCTTTGTCACTAGCTAGCTGCAGTTCCAGAAAAACGAGGGACAGCTCAGAATGGACTTGAGCACTCTGGACCTTCTGAAGGTGTTGGTTTATCCTGGACTTCACACTTTAGATGTGCAACACAGGATTCAAAGGAGAAGTAGAGAAAGTTTTCCATACGTAAAGGGCTGTGACCTTACAGAAGCTCACACAAAATGCTGAAATCATGGTTTGCCTTCACGCCTGTGTGCTCCGCGGATTAGTTCTCCGCTTGCCCCGCTCCAGCTCCCCAGCGGTACCAATTCAAGTTACAACAGCTAATCCTCAGGGGGATATGGCCCAAGCCCGCTTTGCTTTCTCTCCTTATTCCCCTCTGACCCTCCTCCCTTTGGTCTGACTGCAGCATAAAACCTTTGTGGTTCTCAACATTGTGCAACTTGCACATTTCCCTAGCCCTCCCACCCAGCCCCCTCCCCCCAAATCCTGGGGAACTCCGGTTCGTGCAGTGCCACCGGCATTACTCACTCAGCCCCATTCAGGCTTCCCCCAGCATTTATTAAGGGGCTCCAGGCTACTGCCTCTCACTTTCACTGCCCCCTGCTCAGCTCAGCTCACGGGAGAGCTTCTTTCACACTGCTGCGAGGCAAGAACCTCCCCTCCAGCAATGCATCTCCTTGCGATTCTGCTTTGGGCGCTCTGGTCGGCGGGGTTGGCCGAGAACTCGCATGATTACGAACTCATGTATGTGAACTTGGACAACGAAATAGACAATGGACTGCATCCCACCGACGACCGTAAGTTCCCTTTTAACTGTTTCTCCGCTAGTCCTGACTGCATTCGCTACAGCTCTGGGTCTGAAATACGGGATCTGTACTTTGCAGCCAAAAACAATCAAGCCAAACATTGTAGTTTGTTTTGTAAAAGTGAGAAGCGCCTGAGTTAAGAGAGAGGATCTGAGGAGGTATTTGTGCTGCCTACATTGACCGGGTTGAACTATTTGAAATCGTCAGTATTTGGCCGCTTTGTGCCACTGGCGCGCGATTTCCTGGAGTTCAACTTCATTCGGTCCTGAATGAATGGCTTCTGGGTCACTTCTGAGATACTTCCATGCTGTTTACCAGGAGGTATCCTTAAAGAAAAAGGGGGTCTCCCGGGGACGGGCTATTAAGTTGGGACCACCGTAGGAAGTTCCCTTTCACTAAGCGCACTCCAGGCAGATCTGGGTAGGGTTTTAATGCGCGTTTGTCCCGCTCTCCAGCCACGCCGTGCGACTGCGGTGCGGAGCACTCCGAGTGGGACAAGCTCTTCATCATGCTGGAGAACTCGCAGATGCGGGAGAGCATGCTGCTGCAGGCGACCGACGACCTGCTGCGCGGCGAGCTGCAGAGGCTGCGGGCCGAGATGGGCCGGCTGGCGGGCAGCCTGGCCCGGCCGTGCGCACCGGCAGAGCCGACGGTGACCAGGCTGGCCGAGGCGCTGGCCGAACTGCTGCCGGCCAGCCGCGCCGCGGACCGCAGGCTGGCGCTCCTGGAGCACGCAGAGGCGCAGCGGCGGGAGGAAGCGGAGCGCGCCCTGGAGGAGCTGCGGCGGGCGCGGGCAGAGCTGCACGCCGTGCAGGGCTGGGCGGCCGCGCGCTGGCTGCCGGCAGGTAAGAGACCCGGACCCTAGCCACCTCCCCTGCCGCCTCGTTCGGTTCTCTCGGTGCGGAAAACCGGCCTGTAGGCTCCTTGGGCACCTCCAGTGGGGGAGCACACAGACACACCTCTTTTCCGCATGCACAGTCACAGAGCCCGGGCACTCCCTCCGAGGCGGAGAAAAGGAAAAGTCTTCCTCCGTTCCAAGAAGTCCAGAGGAAAGCGCTGGCCTTGGACGTATTGGAGACGTCCAGGGCCCCTGACACTCGATCCCACCCGGGCGCACCAGGAGCTCCTAGGTTAGGTTACCACTGTGACCTCCCTCGCTGCGCAGCTTCCCTCCGTTAGGGATTTCCAGGACTTCTAATTTTATCCCGCCCCTCTCTGTTGGGGAGCTCTGGTTTCCCGCGCTATTTCAGGATCCAGCCTAACTTGGAGGGATGTTTTCCAGCTACTCTTGTCAGCGCTTCCTCCTCGTCCACAGAGAGGTGGAGCCTAGAGGCTGACCTGACCTCCACAAGGTCAGCGCATCCCCAGGGATCTGTGGAATTCTTATGACCCTAGAGACCTGAGGGGGGAAGTTTGACATCCAAGGTGGAACAGGCAGGGTAAGGGCCAATCCATGTGCGCCATCCTGCTTCACCCAAGGACAATCTGGGGATGCTGGAAGCAGATGCAAAATGTCCAAGTGCCAAGGGACACTCCAGGAATCCCTATTTACAAATTGGTTAAAAGAAGAAGAGATTTGGAGCCCAGCAACATTCCTTTATTAATCACTTTTAAGAAATGCTGATAGGACAACCATCTGTGGATTACATTAGAAAATCGGTATCCTATGTAAGAGTATAGAAATTGATAGACTTTCCCAAACAGAAAAACAATTTAAAAAGCACGCCACTTTGCCCTGTATTTCCAATCAAACCCATCTAACTGGATGGGGTGAGGGAAGAATCATCTATGAAAACATGGTTCAATTCAGATCACCCAAGTGAGGCCAGTATGCCAGCCTCCTGAAGAGCCAGGGGCTGCTTAACCGCAGCGCCCACATTTCCCGAAATATTAGTAAGACTTCAGAGGACAAAAAGTGGAACAGCAAATGTTCAAGTCTTTCAAAAGTTAGTGGAAAATGGAATTCAAGGCACATTTATTTTGATGCACAGATATGGAAATCCACGTATAGGTTTCTCATGATACACTGTTCCATGAACTTCTACAAGTCCACCGTGGATCCTCAATGCCGTGCTAGGGGCAAAGTTCTGATTCTGTGAGCGTGTTAATGCATGATAGTTCTGGTGTTGTGCAAGCTGTGCAAAGTCACTGTGTCTCTAATCTACCTCAAGAAATAACCCTCGTTTTCCTCTTCCCTCTGCTCCTGATAGTAGAAGAGCCGGCTCTTGTTGTACACAGAAACACTGCACCCAGTCTTTGGTTTCCCTTCCCTTGGTCTGCTGCCAGCTTGGACCCTAGGGACTGCCTCATCATCTTGGTTTTGGTCTCCTAAAAACCTGGCTTTCATTTAGCTTGTTCTTTAATACTAAAATCAGAAAAAAAAAAAAAAACCTATCAGCTAACATTTCTCCTATGAGAGCGCCTGATATTGCAAAGAGGCGTTCAGAGCACCAATCATTGATCAACAAAAGAAGCCCCCCAGAACCTGCCCACATGGGGTTCCACTGCGGGAACTCCTGCAGCCAGGGGGTCTCCCAGACATAATCAGCACGCCCTCTGGAATGCAGTGCTCACGACCTGGACTTATTCCAACAGGAAACCAGTTAATTAGGCTGCAGTAGGCACTGCCTTGATCACTACTATACCAGAACTTTACAGAGACCAGAATATCTTAAGTGCCCATGGGGAAGGGAATCTTTTGTTCCATGATCTTTACTTGATTTAGTTGATTTCACTATCAAAAGATTTCTTGGCTATTACTAGGACATAAAGTCCCTGTTTGTTCAAAGTTTTCTGGACAGAGCCACTTCCACAAATCAGAATAAACTTATTGTGTTTTACATATATATATATATATACATATATATATATATATATATTTTTTTTTTACTGCAAGTTCTGTCCAACCACTAGCTAGTGTTTAAATGCCCTGGGAGTTTGATTTTCAAATCAGTCTGATTTTCAAATCAGTCACACTTTCTTTAGGTTTTTGCAACATTTCCGTCTCTGTAAAAAGGAAGGTGCTTCAGAAAGCTTGTGAAAATGGGACTAAACACAAGGTATTTTGGTATAAAAATTTTGAAATTCATGCACGCAAGGAATCTTCAAAAAGTTCATGAAAATATGATGAAAAAACTGCATGAATTTTAAAAACCTTTTGCAACAGTTTTGATTTCCTTTTCCACAAGCATGTTGAAGTACCCTTGCATAATCAGAGAAAGCGGACTTCTCTGGTTAAACATTTCAGCAGCAGCATTTCCCAGAGATTCCCAGAAAATGCGCATGTCTGCATCTCCACCCTCTGGATCAGCTATGTGCCCTTGAGATGGAGAGAGGTGGCTGTTTGCTGAGCTCTCAAATTCAAGTTCAAGTGTCCCTTCCTCTTAAGTGCTCAGTGAAACCTGTTCTCCAATTAGGTTCCTTGTGGGGATTCATTTCTCTTAAACGTTTACTTTTAGGGCCCAAGCATGCACAAGTATGTGGGCAAAGTAAAAGTGTTTCAGCATCTCCCTGGCCCACCCCGTTCTTGATGCTGCATTCTTGTTGCTTATAGATTTGTAAAACATTAAAAGCAGACTACAAGGTTCATTTATAGGTAATACTAAGACTGGAGAGAATATGAGATTCATCCAAAGCTGTGGCATACTCATTAGTAGTAAAACAGGCCGAATTGGAAACCTCATAGCCAAATCCAGGGATTCCAGCAGAAAGAGACAAGGTAGTGCAATGGTTAGGGTATGACCTCTGCGACCAAACTCCTTAAGTTCAAACCTTAGTTTTATCACTTGTCAGCTATGGAGACTCAGACTAAATTATGTTTGTCTTGGCTTTCTCATCTTTAAAGTGGGAATAAAAAGACTACTGCTAACATTGATAGTAGATGGGTTAAAATGACATTTTAGTGGCTCAGAGAACATATGGTCCAAAGAGTCACTGAATGAGCATCCAGTAAGCATTAGTCAGCCGTATTTACACTGTTGGCTTTCTACAAACTCTGCAAAATTTGCAAATGTTGCAAACTATGTATTTCCAAGTGACATCACTCTTTTAGCATTTTGTTTAGAAATGCTTGTAGCTAATGGCTAAATGGAATGAACTAGGTTCGCTGGATTTCACAATCTATTATTGAGGAACTTGGCGGTGATGAGACACACAAATTGAGCTCTAATTCTTGAACTATAGAGCTATTGTTGGAGTTTCACCCATAATGATTCCAATTTTGTAAAAGCAATAACAGAATCTATGCTAATTTAGAGGGGAGGTAGTCACTCCACAGGGTTTTATTGTTTTAGGGTCTGGACTGCTTGGCTTCTTCTGTTGCATGACTTCTTTCCTACACAGATGCTTCGCTGAGTAAGAGGATGGCTTTCCTCATCATCTTCTTCTTCTTCTTTTTTAAAGATTTACTTATTTTTACTGGGAAGGCAGATCAGATTTTATTCAGGGAAGGAGAGACAACGATCTTCCATGTGCTGGTTCACTCTCCAAATGGCTGCAGGGCTGGAGTTAAGTCTATCCAAAGCCAGGAGCTAGGAGCTTCTTCTGGGTCTCCCATGTGGGTGCAAGGTCCCAGGACTTTGGGCCATCTTCTGCTTTCCTAGGCCACAGGCAGGGAGCTGGATGGGAAGTGGAGCAGCTGGGACATGAACCAGCACCCATATGGGATCATGGCACTTGCAAGGTGAGAATTTAGCCACCGAGCCCTCATGCCAGGCCCTCATCTTCTTTTACAAATTACAGTTGAGGCTGCTTAAGTCACAATGTAATGCTGCGTATAGTTTTCCTTTACCATTCTTAGAAAAAACTATGTTAAAATAGGTCAATGCCAGAATAAATGTGAATGAACTTCTCTCACATTCTTTGTCTTATTTTCTTGCTACTTTAGGTTGTGAAACAGCAATCTTATTTCCCATGCGTTCCAAGAAGATTTTTGGAAGCGTGCACCCAGTGAGATCCATGAAACTCGAGTCTTTTAGCGCTTGCATTTGGGTCAAAGCCACAGATGTATTAAACAAAACCATCCTGTTTTCCTATGGCACCAAAAGGAACCCCTATGAGATCCAGCTGTATCTCAGCTATCAGTCCATAATGTTTGTGGTGGGTGGAGAGGAGAACAAACTGGTTGCTGACACTGTGGTCTCCCTGGGAAGGTGGACCCACCTGTGCAGCACCTGGAATTCAGCGAAAGGGAGCATGACCTTGTGGATGAACGGGGAACTGGTGGCTACCGCTGTCCACACGGTCCCAGGGCACGTGGTTCCAGAGGGAGGAATCCTGCAGATCGGCCAAGAAAAGAATGGCTGCTGTGTCGGTGGGGGCTTTGATGAAGCACTGTCCTTCTCTGGAAGACTCACAGGTTTCAATATCTGGGATCGTGTTCTGAGCAATGAGGAGATCAGAGAGAGTGGAGGAGCAGAGTCCTGCCACATCCGGGGTAACGTTGTTGGGTGGGGCGTCACAGAGATTCAGCCACATGGCGGAGCCCAGTATGTTTCCTAAGTGTTGTGAAACTCTACTTGAAGCCAAAGAAGAAACTCGTATTTCAAATGTATGCCAGCTGGGAAGGTCTGAAAACCTCACTTTGTAATAAGAACACTTGAGACTAATGAAGGAAAGAGTTGAGGTTGATCTTTATTTACCTTGGCAGAATACTGAATAAACAGTTGAAGGGCAGACATTGGAGAAAGGTTTGGGGGATATTGTTTCTAGATGTTGTGCCATGGTGCTTTCAGATTAATGCCATTTCTCTGTCAGATAAACTCTCAAAAAATTAAAAAGGACTGGATTGTTGAACAGAAGGGTAATTGTTCCACTTGGATCTGGCCAGAGGCAAATTTTAGATTGCAAGGAAAACAAAACATGTTGTCCATTGTTCATTGTTATGTATGTATCTTATTTCAAAAGATAATAGAAACATATTTATACCATAAGGTGACTTAACAAATAGAAATGTAGTATGTGTTTTAGTCGAATGTCATTTTTCTGAGAAGATAGTTGTATAAGTTATATGTAAAATGGGTTTGTATTAATTTTATTAAGACTATTTTTGTAAAGCTCTACTGTGAATAAAATCTTTTATAAAACTAACTCATGTCATCTAGTTGTAAATGTAAGAGACACGTTGGAGCAAATCCAGCCTTTTTGTTTTTTCTTCATCTGGAGCAGGCAATTAGCTTTCAGACACTAACCTATTCTGTAGCTGGTGATAGTACTACCAGAAACAAACCATAGAGCTGTTTAAGCTTCGGATTCCTACAAATCATAAAAAATACAATCTTGCAGAAGTCAGTTTTTCTCTCCCTCTCTCCCTTTCTCTGTCTCTCAGTTTCCTCATCAGAGAGATTGAGGAACTGAAGCAATGACAATCTGTAGGTTTCTTCCAATTTGACGATTCCTGGAGCTTGTACAGCTTTTCTGTACTATTTTAACTCAGAACAGGCAGTGCTTTCACACACATGTGAGGTCTGCAAACAGTGGTTAAGAACTGTCACTGGAGAGACAGAGGAGTCTTGAAGCATTAACTCACACCCTTAAAACACACCCAGTTCCCTCACCCATGGGCCAGGGGGACAGGGACAGTCACACCCCTCTATACTGCAGATGGCAGGTAACTCTCTGCACCCAGCACCTTGTTCTGTAGACTCCCCACAGGGCTGACAATAGAGCATCATAGCGACACCTCTGAAGTGTGGCAAAACCACAGTGATGATGAGTCTAAAGTTAGGGCCTGAAAAACCACAGGTTCATAAACAACCACCTGTTCAGAAAATCTGAAGAATAGAATCAGGGATGATTCACACCCAGTTAGCTAGGGGTCCTTAGATTTTGTGACTAGCTAGCTGGGCATCCTTGAGACATACTGTAGAACTCTTCTGGATTCTGTCAGTAAAAGGAAGTGGTTGGACTCTTTATTTCAGCAATAACATCCCAGAAATGTAATGGTATTTGAGGCTGTTCTTGCTCAGTGCAAGGGCCTCCTATTCTTGAGACCTGCAAAATTAGGCTGATGCCTTTCTAAGAAAATAATGTGCAGTTACACACAGGCAGGCCAGTCTCAGATTCCAAGACACTACGTGGTGCAAATTTGCAGGCACATGGGCCACATGCAAGTCCCTGTCTAGCTACTGTCTACGTGTCTTCAACTCTGAGCTGATAGAAGAAACACTGAATTTAAACTATGGCAAAAAGTTAGGAATGCTTTTAGTTCCCTGGCATATTTCTGCATAAATTGGGATGTGTTTACCACACTCACAAATAGCTCAGGCCTAGATAAATGTGAACTCAAATGGTGGTGGAACTCATATGTATATATATATATATAACATGTTGAAGACAAGGAAGAAATAAACAGAAGAAAATAATCTTTGGGTTATCAATGTATAAATTTTTATCAGCTATGGCAGTAAGTTGGGATAGCTATCTCAGGGACTTCTACTTGTCCTTTGATTTGTTTATTTTCTTATGTGCCAAAATTTTAATCTTAGTGGCTTATACGGCCACTCCAAAGTAGACATACAACTAAGCTCCTACCAATGTTGAAACATGCGTATTAGTCTTTTTCCCTTTATTTTTCTGTCTGTTCAGGATGTGGTGATGATAGTCAGAATTTCAGCAACCATCTTACACCAGGAAATTCCATGCAACAATATCAAAGAAGTCTGCATATCTGATGGTTCATTTATTTTATTTGAAAGGTAGGCTGCAAGAGATTCTCTATCTGCTTGCCCACTTCCCAAATGCCCACAATGGCTAGGGCTGGGCCAGGCTAAGACCAGGAGCCAGGAGCTCCATTCAGGTCTCCTACGCTGGTGGCAAGGGTTCAGACACTTGAGCCATCATCCACTGCCCTCACAGATGCATTAACAGCGAGTTAAATTGGAAGTATAGCCACTGGGATTTCAACCAGTGCTCTGATAATAGAGGCTGACATCACAGACAATGGCATAACCCGTTTACCACATAGCTGTCCCTAGATTTATTCTTACATGAGAGAAAAATATACTTCCACCTTCTTTGTTGCATTATTGGTTGATAACCAATCCTGAGCCAATGATTTTTTTTTAAATAAGAGAACTAGGTACTTGACTCTTTTGTCATTTTAAATTATTATTATTATTATTTTATGATACCAACACATTCATAAACTATGCTCAGAGGATGTGTTTTACAAATTCTCAAGAAGCTAGATGTTTGGCTTTTTAAAAGCTATCAATAAGCATGTGATATGTTTTTTCTTGTATTCACTTTAGCATTTGATATACTTTAGATTTCATCAAAAAGAAGAGAGAATGGATGTATAGGACTGAAATAAAATATCTAAAAAGAAGCATCTGATACTGGCTTAGGGTAGTTCCTTGGGACACCATGTCTCTCACTAGGTCAGTTATTAAAGGTATCATCGTGCAAGGGCACAGTAAAACAACCATGCAAGGTGACAAGTTATCAAGAGGAATTGAGTGTATATATTTTACATCGTGCACATAAATGGTCACTGCTCTGCTCTAGCGCAATGAACGGTCCTGGTTTGCGTGGGACTGTCAGAGTTTCTACCCTGAAGGTTCTGTGTCCCAGGCCTCCCAGTCCCAAACCACTAAGGACAATTTGTCACTCTAGAAAGGTTCCATGTCCTAGACCTCCCAGTCCAGACCACTGGAGACAGTTTGTCACTCTGGAACATTCATACGGACGTCCAATGCAGCAACATTTTTGCAGAGATAACATACAAGCATAAATAAAACATAGATATATTTGCATGCCTTTTATAATATAAATAAATTGGCTTTCACGTATTAGTTCTTTCGATATTTAAGATATCTGACATCTAAGTATTTACAGTTACTTAACTGGATTTACTTTAACAAAAAATGATATTTTTTCAAACGAATTATAATTGATCTTTATAATTGACTTTTTATTATTTATTTCTTATCAAGTCTTAGAAATACATTCTTTTAGCATTTTACTAGGCTCAATATTTCCAGAATTATTCTTTATCTGCTTAAGCAGCAGTACCTTTAGGGGCTGGAGTTGTGTCACAGCAGGTTAAGCTACAGTCTGCTATGCCAGCATCCCATATGGGCACCAATTCAAGTCTGGGTTGCCCCACTTGTGATCCATGATAATGAACCTGGAAAGGAACTAAAGACGGCTCCAGTCCTTGGGCCTACACCCATACGGAATCCCAGGCTCCTGACTTTTTCCTTGTCCACCCCTGGACACCGTGCCCAACTGCGGAGTGAACAGGCAGATAGAGAAGCTTCCCTTCCCTCGCTGTGTGTAACTTGCCATAAACAAAATTCCTCCAATAAATAAAATTCTCTTCTTTACAAAGAATGGCATCCCTAAAGTTAAAAGTATCAGTTAAGGCAGTTTGTAGAATTGATGTATGTACTCTGGGAGTTGATAAATGGGGACCCATCAGTTGTGTAAATCTGAAGCACAGAAACAAAATTGTTGGACTTTAAGTTGTCATCCAAATCTGGCACCATCGCCCACTAACTTAATAACTGTAAGGTAGCACGTATGTGAAGCAGTCTTTCTGAATCTCAGATTAACTAAAAAATTGGGGACACATCTTGCCTACTTTGTTAAAGGATCATTAAACAGATGGTGTATATTCAAGGCTTTCTAAACTACGTTTGAAACAAAATAGTTATCTCAAAAGGATATTCCTTTAAGAGGATTAACACTCATAGAAGTAACAAAACAAAACAAAATGAACACACAATGACTCTCCCGTGTGTGAAGTCACTTTTCAGCTCAGTGGATGAATGGCCTCAACTGTGAGGTCCACTTTCTACCTCACAGTGGCCTCTGCTGGAGAAGTCGAGAAGTTACAAACTCCGACTTCGATTCCTAACATTTTGAAATATGCAACAGTCTTCTATTCCAAGATGTGTTTTTTCCCCCATATTTGGACGTTTCTTTAGAACTACTTCTTACTGACAGAATATTTGATAGTTTCTTAGGTATAGTATTACTCGTGGTGAATATTTCTAGTAAGACTGCTTAGTAGTTTGTGAGATTATTTGACTAATAAACTCTTTCCTAACAACCTATAATACTATGAACTTAAAATTCTCCCCTTGAAAATAATTGTGTCGTGATTGTTTTGACTTGAGAGGCAAGGAGACACAAAGAGTCCCCATCTGTGGCTCATGCCTTAACTGTTCCCAACAGCCCTGGACTCAGTGCATGTCTCCCCACGTGGCTGGCAGGAGCCCAGCCCCGTGACGTATGCCTGCTACCTCCCGAACTCTGCATCAGCAGGAAGCTGGAGGCAGGGCAGTCCGAGTACTTGACCCACATACTTCATTATGGGAGCATCTCCATCACCAGGTCCAACCATCATAGTCAATATTATTATTTTTTAAACATCTGCTTATTTTATTGGAAAGGCAGATTCATAGAGAGAAGAAGCTACAGAAAGAAAGATGAATCTACTTTTCCACTCCCCAAGTGGCCACAATGGCTGGAGCAGAGCTGAGCAGATCCAAATC